AAATTTGGGTGCGTCGATCATTTGACCCACTATTAAAAATTTTATACACATGATCTGCGTGACATATTGATCGACTGTTAAATAATTATTAAATGTTACGGCCAATGTGCAGTAACTTTTTATAATTATTTAATATAGTTGCGGTACGTTGCGGCACAGTTACGGCATCATTGAAACAATTCACCTGCACCTCCAGTCGGCAATTTTACCAAAGGAATTGGGGAATATGTAAATAAGAAATAATAATAAAAAAGCTACACTAAAAAATTTTATTCGACATAATAGCTAAAGAAACTTCAAAGTTTTGTCCTCCAACATTACTTGTTTCTGGCAAATTTAATTTGATATAATCAGACTCGTTTGACCGGACCAGATCAGACCATAAATCACTTCGTATTTGATCAGCAGGGCGGACCAGACCTGGCTCGAAATGAAACCTATCGGAAGCTAGTTTCAGAAAGCCTAGTCTGAAACTAGTTTTGGATTTTTGAAATCCCTAAAAATTTTAAAATTTGTATAATATATTTATTTAATTCAATGCTTTATTATAATCAGTCCATAAAATAAATCAATTATTTTATGGTACTTTTTATATGATAAAATTGTTGACCTTATTTCAAAACTGAAATAGTAAATCATTGAATAACTATATATTATTTTTTGACAAAAATATATTTATATAAATAAATAAACGATATAAATAAAATATTAAAATATATAAAGATAATTATTTAAGAAAAAAACCTTTGTATACTGTATATAATATAAAATGAAATACTGTAATTAATTACTGTATTTAATTTTAATAAGAATAAATTTCATCAATATTATCAAAATGTTTTTGCGTTAATTTACTTGAATCACAATTTTCTTTTGATATGTTTATCACCGGTTAATTAATCAAATATATGTCAGATAGCTATAGCATTTAAGATATTGGGATTTTTCATATTGCACGAATAAAGATCAATTTTTTAATATTATATTATAGTAATAAATATATTAATATCGATATATGGGGACTCCCACAGCAAAAGGGTGCAATGGGCAAAAAAATTTTGTTTTTCTAAACTCAATTTCTTGAAGAATTAGAACAATCAGCTTCTAATTTTTATAAAATTACAAATTTAAAATTTTCGGCCCATTGCACCCTTTTGCTGTGGGGGTTCCCATATGTATATATGTATTAAAAATCGATCTATTTTAAAATGATTCAATTCGTTATAGAGAAATTTAATTATCCTTAAATTTTCTCGATATTGCTTATAAAGTGTCGAAAAATAAAGTTACGTTCAAAGATTCCTTATTGATATATAAAATTTGAAACTTTGACTAATAGGATATATTAAAAATAAATAAAAATTGTATTTAAATGTTTAAATCAAGACTTTCTTAAAAACTTCTGTGAAAATCAAACGTAATTATCTTGAAATGATTCTTACAAATAGTTTTCAGTCAAGAAAAATTAGAGGAATAAGTGCAATAGTGGTGTGAATCCTTCAGAATTTTGCGCTTTTTAATATAAATTAAAGAATTTAATAATAATTTGATTTTTCATGATAAAAATCTGGTCATAATAAAATGATCTGACATAGTTTGATTACTTAGTACGTATAACGTTATATGGTTTTTAATTGCCATTGCAAATACGAATGTAAGGCATATTTAAATTAATTACACATTTAAAGTAAAACATTTTTCATTTATTAATTAAATTATTATATATCTACGCATATGAGTTCCTTTTTGAAACTTTACTAAAATATATATAATTTGACATTTTTTAGTAGTGAATAACTATTGATCTACTAGTCTATTTTAAATGAAACAATTACGTATCAGAATATTCATTTTTTAAAAAGTCCAAAATCATCAAGATTCAATCACTAGATTACAAGATAATTAAAGTTTTTGCAGTATGACGAATGGGACAATTAGTTAGCCTATAGTCTAACTAATTATCCCACCATATAGGTGCGGCATACTGCAAAAACTTTAATTATCTTGTAATATAGCGATTGAATTTTGATGATTTTGAACTCATTAGAATCCTCTCATCAAGATGAATATTTTGGATTTAAAATAAACTAGTAGATAAATAGTTATTCGCTACCAAAAAAAAGTCAAATTATATACATTTATATATTTAGTACAATTCCAAGAAGTGACTCATGTGTAAATT